TATAATGGTCAATTTTACGGGATCTCTTCTTCCCGTATTTCAGGTCAAATAAGAATGGATCAATGAGCTATTAATTTCGCTTTTATAGTTTTTCGAGTTTTAGAGGCACGATTGTCTCTGCGAAAATGTTGCAAAATAGAACCCCTAGAAAAGAACCAAACAAATATGGCAATTTCAACGACAGCTTCAAAATGAAGCGCTTTTCATTTCGTTGTCTGTGATTGAAAAACATATATAGCGGTTTTATCTATTCATTTTGACAAAAAATAAATATTATTTTATAATATAAAAAAACGCACACAAACGATGAACATTATTATGGCTACATACAACGTATTATACAATTGGAAAATGTGAAATACATATCATGAAATTCAAGTAGGAAATCACATACAAAATTGTAAGGAGATTTGAAAATGACGAATGATTGTTAACCATGAAAGAATGCATAAGGATAAAGCAAGAAGAAAAAGAGACATGAAAACAATTTATATTTATGTCTAGCGAAATGTATTTAAGGATATAAAATGATAAAATTTGAAATAATTTGTTAGCTGAAAAATCGATAATCGTTTCTTGATATGAAACACGTACATAACTCAATTATTTTCTCTGAATGTTTCAAAATAATTCTTGACGTTTTCGTTAATCGATTTCTGATTAACTTTTCATGTCGTAGAAAATATAAGCAGGATTTGAAAAATAAATCTAATCTGGTTAAAAACCTAATTTTGAATATAAAACATGTAAAACAAACTATGCTGTCATTCATTTTGAAAAAAACTCCAAATGTTACCATTCAATTTTTAAAAGTGTATACTAAAGAAAATTAAGATGTTACTTAGGCCAGGACAGAACCCCCTGGATGGGGTACACATTGTAAGTATGACAATTTCTTAAACACTGTAAATAACAAATTACATGTATTAAAGATCACAGGTCACATGATAAATTCAAGAAATATCATAAAACACTTAAAGTGTTAAACACAACAGTGTGTTTCACAAAAGAACAAAAAAGAAACGGTTAGAATTGTTTGGTTCTTCAAAAGTGTTATTTTATTATCTCCCTCCAAATCACATCATTTCAATTTGGGTTTATTTATCCAACCTTTAGCAAAATGCTACCAAATGCCAGGAAATGCTGTGAGCATAATAACTTATACAACACCTACATTTCTTTGCGCACATTATAAGGACATAGCATTTGCAACTCGCTCGTTCACTCACAACAAATCCCTTTTTCACAATGGCATGTACACGTATACACAAAATTGTATCTGAATAGCTAGTCTTTAGATTATGTGATTCGAATATGAACTTAAGCGCAGTTTTATTGACTGTTTTATTTCTTAAACGTCTTTTTTCTGTTGATATATTATTAGTAAAAACCACCGCATTTGATTCTCAAAAGTTACACATTGTATTCTGTAAAATTGAAAACGGCTTGATGCTATCGTACAGTATGGCTACAGGGAACTAAATTTGTATTATCCGGTTAGGCTTTAATGTTATGATCATTTTGCGCATTCATACATTGCTCGCTACATTTAATAAGGTAAACTAATGTTGTTATAAGAACTGTAATGCTATTCAGCTAAAAAGATTAAAACATTGTCAANGCCCCCCCCCCCCCCCGAAATTTACGCTTTATCGACTTTCATTTCTATGTATCTTTTGTAAGTTCAACGCTAAATAATTTACATTCATGGCAGTTTTTGATTTTATATTATAAATTTATGCTAGGAGTACATCGTGGTTGGATTACTTGAAGTGGTTACATTCCGCGAGGACGAAGCACTAGGCAAATATGACCGCTGAGAGTGAACAAATTTCATATCACCCTACAATCAGGGTTATTGATTGGTTTATAATCTGAAAATTTCAATCACAGACCTTTTGAGTCAATTTTATCCGTTTATAAGCTGTAACTTTCTGCAGAAAATAATAATGTACTTCATCGTATGACCTTTCTTCGTTTAACGAGTCATTGTTGGTACTATAGATTAAAAAACAGAAAAGTTATGTCTGAACTGTTCTGAAACTTATGTACAAAAAAATGGCCTTAAACCAATTTCAACTTGGTCTTGACAATGTCATTTATTTTCTAAACTTTTTTATATCACGAAAACCGAGCAACAACAAAATTCAGCTACAAGGTAATGGCCCACCTCTGGGAATGCAAATCTGCTAGCTGAGTAAACACGATCATAAAAAACACCTTTTAGGTTTGGACGAGACTTCTTTTGCTATCCTAAGAATTCTCCATTTGGGCTTGCTGTGCTGGAAGCCGGGATAATTTTTGCCCAAGGTTATCTGACGTCTGTTTGAAACTGGGGACAATGAACCATCGCATCAACGTTCATATGTGAAATTCGTATTGGCATGGCAATGAACATATACCATTTACTCTCTTACTTGCATTTTATAATCCAGTAGAAATTGCACCTAAACAAACAAAAAAGAAATAAGGTATTTAAAGCTTTCACCTAATCATATGGGAAATATTCAACTTAATTCAACCCCAAGACAACTCAGCACAGCCAAATTTAAAAGGGTAGTTATTATATTTGTTTAATATACAGTGATATTTTACGACTCTACTTTGTATATTTTTGCAATTTGATATTGGTGCGTGTTAAATTTTTCCTTCACAAGTTTCAATATCTAGCAAAGTCTTAAGGTAAATATTAAAAAAGATAGAGAGTTAGATGGGAATAAAACATATCGATTCCATGTTTCAAAAATAATACACGTTTTTGAGGCTGACATCTTACAAATACATCATATTATATCAATTACCATTTTGAGTAACCAAATCATAACGTACAATATATATCAGAGCTTAATTATTATCAACCTGTAAAATATTTTATACTTAATTTCACCTTGAACCACATATCAGTATTCAATGCTTGCTTATTACATCAATGAAACAATATTACAAGAATATAATACAGGATATGGCTTAACAGGTTATTATGGGGTAGAACGCTGCTAAGCATGCTGGGTTATGCCAAAACAGGGCGGGATTGGAATGTTGAGTTATACGCCATGGGTCTTAAGTTGGAATGTTACGTTGTACATGATGGGCAAATACTTAAAACGATGAGATATAACATCAGGTCAATCGAATTTGATGAAAAGTTAAATGCTTAAGATCCTTGAGTTACGATAAATAAGCATTTGCTTTCAATGTTGAGCTATGCATGAAAGTGCCGTGTTAGTATATTGGATTCTACGCGATAGGAACATTCTTGTAATGATAAGGTTGATGGAATAGGCCCTTTTCTAATATGTGAGTTACATGCAATGATCGCTTATGTTTATGAAGTATTAGTTTTGCTGTTTTTAGAGTGTCAAGCAATTATTGAGTTTCAATTTATTAACACATGCCAATAAAGTTTAATGAATGCTTTCTAAGACTTTATTGCATTTCATCAAACAATTAATGAACGTATTACATCCTGTAACGAAGATGTGATAATCACGGAAATTTGTCCATTTTCACCCTTGTTTGGCACATTATTAAGATAAACTAAGACTCTATTACGATAATCATAGGTCAAAGGGAAGGTTGACCTTCTGATTGAAAAGTGAGTTTTATATCAGATGGGAGTAGCTATGCCACTCTTCGGAACAAGTGTTAGTAAAAAACACAGCTTTTCCGCTATTAGTAATATGCAAGTGGAAGATTGATTATATTGTTCTGAAGTCTTTTGCAATTGTACAATAAAAATTGACGAAGACAACATTGCTCGTCATCTCATCTAGAATAACTTAATGATGACCTACATCTGTGCATGTGCCAACATTTTGGTCAATGTATTAGATGAATGAAAATACACGACCATAAATCACCAGTGCAGCGTGTTCCGTTCTTTATTGGTATTAACGATATTCTATTTCTATTGTAGTCCACCCTTCTGCTTATGCAAGTCTTAACCGGAGGTTTGATGGAACAGATCTTCACAAGCTTGATGATTGATAGCATAGATTTATATCCGATCTGACAGCCTCCCATGTTCACAAACCTATGCGTCTTGCTATTTAACTTTCTGATGTTGCCTCGAAACGGATATTAGGAAATGTTCCGATGTATCTAAATGTAGACCAGAATGTAGCAGTATCACAGTGAGTGATGCTGATGACGTCACTCAGCTCGCACAATGCATTGTTCAATGTCAGATTTTATGTCGCTCTAAAAAAATAACCTGTTTTCCTGAGAATTTCAGTTTCAAATAGTAGCTTAGAATAAATATATACGGTAACCATTATGCTGCAGATACAATGAGATTGATCTTAGATATACACATGTATGGGGAAAAAAGTCCTGTAAAAAGTTGGCTAAAAAACAACTTCGAAAACGTATTTTTCAAGAAAGGTTACATTTAACACGACAACATATATCCAGTTTTGATAACAGAAAGTTGAAGAATAACATATATCAACAATACACCAAGATATTTTTGAGAATTTGTGATTTGGCAGCGGGCAGCGTTTTTCTTCTATTGGCTATAACGTATTTTCACAGTGAAATATCATCTTAAGAATTATTATTTTTTACGAAAATGTTAAGGATTAACCATTTCCACGTCATTTTCCATAGGGCTACAGTACTTGCCCGTGACCAGCCTGTGATCATAATTTTAACACATATGACGCCACTATCAAAAGAAACCAACTCCCATAGCATTTGTAGTGATACAATAACTAATCATAGTAACTATTAAGTTTGTAACTTATATATGAGTCATCACGACCGTTTTGTCTTTCGCTGATAGACTTCACTATAAAGGAATTGAGTACCGAGCAAACATGTCATCTTTTTGAGACGATATTGTATAACTCCGTCCTAATAGGTGTGTTTCCAAAATACGTTTTTCTGTTGATGTTGAAAGATACATGAAATCTAAATGATATTTCTATAATTAAAAAAATGAATTTACAAGTAAATGCAATCTACATTAATTATAATTATATCACACAATAGCCCTTTTTATACACACACATTATGTGAGTAACAATGTTTTTGATCATAGAAATATCGTCATAAATATGATAAATGTCATTTGTTTTAGACCTTCGATGCTTGGATAAAATATCTATCAACCTATTTTCTATCATACTGAAACACAACATTCATTCCTGTCAAGACCTGTTTCCTGTACACAAGAGTCGAAATTGTCCTCACAGTTAATCTCGGACTTTTGAGATGAGAGAGACATTGGTCCTTTCATGTGTACCATCTTTGTAGACTCGCTGGCAATTTCCCCTGAATCCCGTCTACGACATCGATGCGTACATCTATATAGCACTAACAGAGACGGAAAAGTGTCAAATAATGCTCGTTTGAAAGATCTGTTCCTACACACGTATATTAGAGGATTCCAGATAATCGATGCCTTAGCGAATACTGAAGGCAATGTTCCGATTAAAGGATGCACATCATCGGCATATCCGAGTATAGAAGTCATTGCATACACAGAGTACGGTATCCAGGATATCAGGAATGCCGCTGAAACATACAAGCGTATACAATTTCAAGTCTACTACAACATCACAAACTATATTATATTTTGCTTGCATATTTTGATAATTCATTAAGAGGATATTTATGTACACACTTGTAAAGCTGTTTACATGCTTAATCAATCTTACAAATACATGAAGTACAATGTAATAAAATAATTTTAAAAACTACTTATGATGAATAACAGTTTTATCAATACATGCTTATGAAGTACTATTTTTTGCTTTTATTGTTTTGATGTATTTTTTGACATTTTTGTTTTTGCTTATTTCTGCTATGAAATTCTAAGTGTGAAATATAATATATACTTATTATCTGACCAAATTTAGATGTTCCGAATATTTAACCTTGATTCTGATTTATCGTTGTATGAATTTAAACTAAAGTTGAATTGTTGCTTCAATGGTATAAATATCGTCGATATTAATATGGTAGACGACTTTGATTAAAGTCTGAGATAGAGACTAGATATATACTTTCATGTAAACAAGATGTTGAAAATTAAGAAAACATTCGGAATGTAACAAATTCGATTGCTTGTAACTGCGCTTCAATGAACTTGCATGCAAACTGAACATTAATGAAGAATTTCTCGTAACATTTTCTTGAATGATTTAAGATTACAACAGACCTGCAATATATTAATGTATGATTGTACGAGGCGACTTTTGCAGTCCCTGTTAAATCATCTAGGTTCGTATTGATGAAACTATTCTTATGTTTAAAGTGCTTAAATCAGGCAAAACACTATTGTTCTTCAGTGGTTTGTCGTATATAAGGTGACTTATCTAAATGTCCTATTTTATATAACCGGTGCTATTGAATAAATGCATTTCCAGCGAACAGGTAGTTCAGTTATTCAGAGAAACAGTAAATTAATCTAGGGTTTTAGTCCTGGTCGAGCCTTTTTAGTTTTTACACTAAGTACATCTTATTGATTTTTCCCCCTTATTCTTGATAGTACTGCAATGTTCACATGTTTTGACAGTGGTACGGAGAGCTCTATATCGTTTACAGTGTTTACATGTTATTTGATTTAAGCAAGTTGGTTTGAACACAAAATTCATATTTGAGGACGAGAACAGTGTAGTGTATACATATAGGTTGGGAAGCCCTAATGAAAGAACTGAGTAGGTCTCGGGGCTGTTTTGGTACAAAAATAGGGTAATGATTACAGAGTCGTGTGTTACGCGAGTCGTAGTCTCAGTGATACAGAGCGTCGGTACTCCCAGACAGAAAAGGAAGCATTAAGCATTGTATGGGCATGTGAGCGTTTCCATGCGTATCTGTATGGGATGGAGTTCGAGCTCCTGACATATCATAAACCATTAGCGTGCACCTACTCACCGCGCTCGAAACCTTGTGCACGTATAGAGAGATAGGTTCTCAGACTTCAGCCATATATTGCTACAAAGAGAAATTTATCCCAGGGTCGCGAAACATTGCAGAATCGTTGTCGCGTCTAATGAAAAGTCTGATAAAGTGAAAGACAACGTACAAGTAGACGATGACAGGTATATCCATTTCATTGCAGAACAGGCGACACCGGTTGCCTTGACCACCCGAGAGGTGGAACGAGAGTCGGATGATGACCCAGAACTTTGCGATATCCGGAAGTGTTTACTGAATGGTCAGTGGCAGAAAACCGAGTTTAAATAATATATGCCAGTTCGTGGTGAATTATGCGCGATCGGTAGAATAGTTATTCGTGGTACTAGACTAATAATACCAAGGAAATTACGAAACCGAGTCGTTGAGTTAGCTCATTAGGGGCATCCTGGTATTGTGGATATAAAAGCTAGACTCAGGAGAAAGGTCTGGTGGCCAGGGATTATCGCGAAGCAGAATAACACTGGAGGCAGTATTAAGGTTGTCAGTTGGTCGGTCAGGCGTCGCGACCAGACACTATGAAACGACGAGAATTTCCATCGTCCCCGTGGCAACATTTAGCGGGTGATCTTCTTGGACCATTGCCAACGGACGAATACATATTCGTCCTCGTTGATTATTACAGTCGGTGGTTTGAAGTTGAGACCATGAAGGTAACTACTGCTGATAAAATTACTCAAATACAATTTTCCTGACCGACGGCTTGCCGGATTCAATTCAAACAGATAATGGACCGCAGTTTGTAAGTGAGCATTTTGCTAAATACCTTGCCGAGCTAGGCATAGAGCATCGCAAAACTAACCCATTGTGGCCTCAGGCCAATGGCGAGGTCGAGCGACAAAACTGGTCAATATTGAAACGAAGTCGTATTGCTCACGCATAGGGGAGGTCATGGAAAGATGACCTAGGTACATACTTATTGATGTATCGCAGTACTCAACATAACACAACAGGTGTTAGTCCCGCTGAGTATGGTCGAATACTCCGTACTAAGCTTCCTGAGTTGAGTAGATTTAGCCCAGATGACTTGGAAGTTTGGGATAGTGAGAGGAAAGAAAAAGGGAACATGTAGGCTGATAAAAGACGTGGTGCATGTGAGAGTGATATAAATCAGGGAGATAAAGTGCTTTTAAAGCAAGATTATCGGAACACGTTTTCTACAACAAATCAACACGAGCCGTTCCAATTGCTAGAAAAGTCAGGGAACAGTGTTGTTGTCGAGTCAGGTGAAGGGAACGTGTTCAAACGGAATATGACACATTTAAAAAAGTTTCATGTTCCAAAATCTCCTGCAAAAGAATGTGAAGGTTGTAAGAATCAGGAAGAGAATGTTGATGCTGACTCTCTGTCTGATACTGGTCAGTGTCAAGGTCAAAGCCCAGATGGAATGTGTAATAAGACGACAATTGTCGACTTTGGACGTCCAGAGAGATCCAATCGAAAGATGCCATGCAAGTATGATGATTATGTGGTTGGTTGAAATACTTTATTGTTAGTTCATGAGTTTATTGTTCTATCTGTTAGTAGTCAAAGAATGTTTACACCTAATTGAAATTCTACATAGTTTCTAGGCAGATTCGGTATATTAAGGTAATTTCATGGTAATTCTAGAAATTTGATTTCAGTTCTAAATGAAGGAGGGATGTAGTGTATACATATAGGTTGGGAAGCCTTAATGAAAGAACTGAGTGTGCATGCATCCTTAATATTGCATATAATGCTATTGCGCATGTACATGACGTGATTGAATAAATGAGGGTTAAACTTCACATGGTGTGTGTGTTGTACCTGGGTTAAATTCCGATAACCTCTACAAACAGTGTCATAAACACAGCCTTGAGTGTTCTTCCCATGCTCTGCCTGAGTTATATTGAGGAGACAACAATTGATCACTAGTGACAACTGTAAGAACCTTTGTCGTTTACAATATCATAGCTTCACTTTCTAAACCCACAATGAACGGATTAAACGTGTCGCAACCTTTCAAGGCTGACAGGACCCGTTGTCAATCTTTGACTGAATGGGTGATTTGTAATGTTTACCTGTGACGAAATTGTATTTTTTTTATGTCACTCAACCGGAGACGTTTCGCCTATCGATAGGGAGCGTATACACATTGCAGCAGATACGTTACAGATAGGGTGTAGGTCTAGCCCCCTCCCCTGTTATGTCAGTATCGGTTCATACATATTACTCAGCTGGTGCCCCCCCCCCCCCCCCCCCAACTCGTCTCTGTTCATGTTATGGGTTTTATCCTATTTCCTTATCGATAGACGAAACGTCTCGTTTCGAGTGCCATACAAATATTCAATTTCGTCACGTCATTGTACAGGTAAAAAACCAATCGCTCACTCAGTCACACCCTCACAAAGGGACAAGTCGGTCTTGAAACGTTTAATACGTGCATTGTTTTGTGTAGAAAGAAAAACTTTGATATCACATATTTTCAAACTGATGAATCTTATTAAAGATGTTTTGTCGTTTACCTTTTTTACAGTTCTACAGTCCATCTTAACTCACGTATCATGTCCCTGTTACCAACAGCGCGGACCTGTATGACCTTATTATGTTGGGGAGTATACGTGACTTATCACGAAAAAATAATCAAGATTTATCAGATATCGCGACAACAACTTGATCTTGCAAATCATTTGTGAAGGCTAGTTCAAAATAACAAGGGATAACCCTGTACTAGGACAAAGATCATCGATAGAAGATTAATTAAAGATTGATATCACTTTGTTGAAGATGATCATCAATCATACTTTCAAAACAAATGAAGAGGAGTTTTGATTGTAATCTCAGGCACTTACAGACAAGTAGAAAAATGGTTTTCATCACTTTTACCTCCCTCCGGCTAGCTCGATGGTGTTGTTGAAATCCTTTATATCTCTGCGCTATAGACCTTTGCCTTTTAATCTGAAAAATCACAAAGGAGGAAAAACCAATTGAGATCAGCGTTAGCAAAATTGAAATGCTAACCAATGTAAACTTAAACCACATATTATCTAGAAATCTTTATTATCCAAACGTTACGTTAAGTATATATTTTAATCTTCAAAACAGAAAAAACAAATTACATTGACCTCGACTTTGTTTCTGTCAATATCGCTTTCTTAGGTTCATATAACTTAACACATATTCAGTTAAGTTGACAAAAGTCCACAATTGATAAATATTTATGCAATTTGTATCGCTGTTTGATATCTATATCTAGTCCAGCAATGTAAAGCATACATGTAGATTCAATTCTACTTTGTACACATGATCGGTCATAATATATCTAAGCTTTTTAATACTTCTTATTTTATGTAATATACATTGATTCTTTTAAAGTTCAAGATATCTTTTATTGCAGTTTCGTGTGTCTGTTACAAACCTAATCGAATATTATTAATTTACAACTATATACTAACATATTTTGAAAAATGCCACGAATACGGAAAGTTAATTATGCGCTGCTGGAGGTTATAGATGTATAAAATATGAGGTAATATTTTTCTAAAGAAATACATTATATTTGATGGTAATTGTTTTGAATTTTAATTAATCTCAAATATTTTCTTTATTCAAATAGTGATTTTTCGAAACGAAAAAACGAGTTTATGAGAGAAAGAACAAATACCGCCATACGTATGTCAGCACTTCCGTGTTTGATGTGGAACGTGACGCCCACTACTGAAAAACTCTGTACAACTGATATTTTGTGTTTCTGCAAACATTTACATAAATGCATCAATAATCCGAAATTTTCCTAAATGAAATATAATGGGGGAAAAAAACCCATACTTTATTCAGGTTGACTTTGGTAATAACTGATGAAGGCACGTACTTGTAACTTAGAACGAAAGAACATTGAATATTAACAGAAACCATTAGCGTTACATTAAACCAAAACACGTGATTTATGATAAGTATAAATAAGTCTGTAGCGTGAAAACCACGATTAATGGAAATACCGCGTATATAACAGCAATATTTCAGAGCAAGGCCGACATCTGGAAGATAAACTGTAATTTGATAAATGGATGACCAGTACCATTACAGATAAATATAGAGACACCAGCGGACAGCTGAGCCCACCAGAGACGAAAGTTCAGCTACCGACATGTCATGTATTGACAGACATCCGTTAGTTAAGCTTGGAGGGCACTCCACGATTTTGAGTAACCTTCCAGCCAAAATCAAAACGGATATTAGCCGCGATTCCCACCAGCTAATCATGCAAAAACAAAAACAATATGTTGATAAGTATTCCTTGGTAATAAACCAAGAATATATCAACTACATAACGGTTCTGATGAGGATAAATTCATAAATGCACAGAGAGGGATCAGGTGAACCATTATATGTAATCATGGAGAAGGATGAAAGAAGTTTTTCTTGATCACAAAGATATAATACTCTATTATACTCCCTAATCTAAATAAAATAGCTTTTTTCCAGAAGATGTTGATAAGAAGATTCAATTCTTGAGCTGTTCTTATGCGTAATAATTCTGAAATGTCTTTAATCGGTTTCCAGCACATTCAAGTGTTCGTGACCTGATTGGATTTTGTTAAGTCCATGTGTGATTCAAAGATATTCCAACACGCGCTGTTAAATACTTTTTAGTGAAATTCAGTTGTCTATACAATATCACGTAGAAATGATTTATGTGGACATTGTTGGAAATGGTAATTGAAGCTAAGAAATTATTACGTTGAAAAAAAAATGAATAAAACATCAGGAAAAAAAACTTTGATTTTTTTTTTTTACTTGACCTTCAATGCTTTATTATGTTTTATCCATGTTTTTGTTTTGTATTGAAAATAATAAAAAAAAAATCATATCTGGTAATTTGAAGTATTTTACCATCCGTTTTCCCTCTCAATATTGTCAACAAGATTTCGGAATGCAAAATGGTTTGTTGTTGAGAAAAATCAAAATACTAGTCATGTTTACGCTAGTGATACATGTTTAATACATCTACCATGGCTTCGATGTAACGACGCTTTTTATTGGTTAATTATCATAGATCGACCATACGCATGCATGTATCAAGACAGTTTTGACAAAGAACCCAGTACGTACTGGCATCACAGGTTCTAGTAAATAAGTACATATTTGGTATCAAAATGATCTACTACATCTTAGCAGCAGCATTATAACGGAAAAAAACCCAGCTTTAGTTTGAAATAGTGATTTGTAAGGCTCTTGAGTAAGTATAACTTAATATTCTGAGCAGGAGTACTTCAAGGAGCTCCTATTTGGCCAAATCAGAACCTAGGGAACTGAGACCAAAATTTTCAATACTGTCTGCGAACTGGCAACACTGTTGCAAAATATGAAAAACTCGATGCTTGGGCCGACAATATGAGCTTTTTAGCGTTGGAGTTGACTCCACCTTTACGTATGGTTTATCCAAAGCATGTTAAAAGGATTTCAACCAGTCCCTATCAGGCGCAGACAGAGCAAATTCATCCCATAAGACTTATTAAATTATATTAGCGGGACGTTAAAAGCTACGTATGGAATAATATACAATAAAAGTATAAGACAAAATTGCAGCGCAACTGATTTATTGCATAGGTTTAGGAGGCTAGACAACTTCCTGTTGCCTTTATTGACCATTTTGCCTACCCATTTACTATAGGTTTTTATTGAAACGATAGAAGAATGACTGAAAGCATTATTTTATTTAACATTAAACCTCAATGCTATCTTAAACCATTATTAAATTTCTATTTCTATCAGACTTCGTACGATATGCTTACGCGCATATAGTCCGTGGTTAATTTATATAATCTAATGCAATACTGCTACTCTCAATATTCAAAGTCGTTCATCTATTTTATGTTTTCATGAAATTGATGCCGAAACATTAATTTTGACAAAAATTAAATTGGTAAAAAAAAGAAGTCATTTTTGAATATTAATGAGTGACCTTTTACATATGGGTCATATCACTACGCCAGCCTTGTCAACAAACACATGTGTGTATGTTATTTCCGACTGATCATGATATTGTGGTAGAAACAGATCACACGACTCGTGGGTGTTGAGTATGGTATTTATTTCACTCTCGTTAGTTAATTTTCAAAAGTTACAGAAAGACACTCGAGTGAAATAAATACCATATTCAACAACCACTCGTTGAGTAAGCTCTATAACTAGATTCAATACAATGCCAATATTGAAATCAATCTGATGTGTCTAAAACGACTCTCATGATCTGTAGCAATCCTTTTGATGCGTAATTTTTCCCCATTTCCTTTTTAATTTATCACTCTCTCCTACATGTATCTACATTTTTCCTTTAAGTGATGTTGTCCTATGTGTTTGAACGATATTACCAGACCTGATGTAACCTTAGTTATCGTTTAAAAGATGTAATCCCTGAATACTCTTTAATGACCTGTCAGTGATATTAAAGAAAATCATTTTTGACCAATCAGAAAGGTTTATTCTGTTCACTGCATTGAAAGCCGAAGTAGTTTGGTTCATATGCAGATCAAGCGACAGAAGATGTGTGTATATAGTATTTCCTCAACTTCCCAAATGATGTCATTTTTGTAAATGTTTTTTTTTTTTAATAGCGCGCATCTTTTTTGACATTTAAATAATTAAAATATTGAATTCATGTAGATGTATTGCTTCCATTTCATAAAAAAAACTAAGCGTCGTATTCCAGACATTGACAACGTCAGTTTTGTCATAAAAATCGTCTGCTGAATAACCGAACTACTCGGCAGTGAAGCGGACGTAACACCTATCAATCAATCAATCAATCAATCAACCAATTAATCTAAACATATTTTGTTGATAAGGTCTTAATCGTTAGTTAATACCCAAAAACCAAAATCGGGGTAATGGCATAAAGTTGGTGAGCAGTATAAATACCGAATTTGAACAAAAGAATGGAATATGTTGAAAAAAATCATGAATTATTTACATTATCCTCAGAACCAGCATGATACCATACTACATGTGTGTACAGTATGTGTATGTACTCGAGTGCTGCTTCGGCCCTAGTGATGATACTTGTTCAAGGGCTGATATTAAGGATGGTTTAAAAAAAGTCATATGATATTCTATTTATTTATTTTTTATTAAATTTGACATATAAAGAGCAATTAACAAAAAAAATTACTTTATTCCATAAATCTTTGTTTAATAGGGACAAATAAATAAATAGTCTATTTTATCTTTCACAATATACAAATCTGTAGCTTTTATGAGATCAACGCTTTCCTTTATTATGTTCTGAACACAACTGACGTTCAATTGTTTCGTCTGACTACGTTTTTTTTATTGCTTTGAAATGCCTTGAAAGAATATGGCTCCCCTTCTTCGTCTGTTGTAATTGATTCTACAGGTCATTCCTCACTATTTGTATTAAGACAATCGTTATTTTGTCTTTTTTCTGTGTTAGGATTACGCATACGTCTCGCAAATCCTTCTGTGTCTTTTTTATAGACAGCAGTACTCTGAGCAGCCTGAAAGTAAACATCTGCTTCTAATACACCTAAATCTCTGCCTAACCCCTCATTTTCTGCTGGCTTATATGCTGATAATAACATATTAGCATATAAATGAAATATCCGAGATGACAGGAAATTTATGCGATCTGCTGGCTAGAACTAACAGAGGTAAAACATTATTTTAGTATCCATTTTGCAAAATTCTCGTATATGATATGCGTATATATCGTATATTATAAATCGATTTAAACCATGTATACCACATTATCTAGTGAATACAACCATGTCATATACTTTTCAATTTGCTTAATGTAAAACGGTCTCATTGCATTGTATCAAAATTCTGACACATATCTACTGATTACATTTTAAGTCGCAATGGATTCAAAAGTTAAAGAGCGAAGATGGCGGTATTTTTGACTTCGAGAATGACACAGAAAACATATTTTCGTAATA